GCACTTTCCTTCTTGGTCTCCTTGCTGTCCTGGGCGCCCAATGGAGTGCCAAGTCTTGGGCACCTGACCCGTCCTGGTAAACTAAGAGTTTGCTATGGAAAATGGCCATAGAAATAGCATGAAATAGTTGATTTACCCATTAAAAATTGTTATTTTCCATAGTTATGTTAGTTTACCAGAGGGTCCTCAATTTTTCGATGTAGAGGGTCTATAGGCTGAATTAATAGCGCATCACCTAATGGCCGAGAATCAACCCATTCACCAAGCATTCACCGATCGGTTCCATTTCTTGTTGCTTCATAGCTGTGGCAAACCTACAGGCCATTACCAATATGGCGATTTCCATCATGGTAAAAACATGTATCAACCATCCCCAGCCAGGCGGATTTCAGAGGTTTCGGACCAAAATCATCCCCAGCCCAACTTGCCGCCTTCTTGGCCTTGTCCGGCTTCACTTCCTCCACCTCCGGTGTCGGTGTCTCCAGCGCCTTTGGGGCCTCGGCAGCCTTGGTCACGAAGTATCCGAACTTCGGCTCCAGGCCCTTCACGATCTTGCAGGCGTCCACGTATTGCCTAGGGAGAACTGGAAAGATCTGGAGGTTGAGATGAAGAGAATAGGGAATCAGAAGTTGGGTATAAAAGTTGGCGAAAAATCGACCATTGAAGCCACAACATTGCTGTTCCACCAGTTGATCCTAATATCTTAGGGGCCCCATATTGGTCTTTCAGAACAACCTCATCCCCAGACCCTAGCCATAGCAGTGATGACCTCTGCCCAGCTGCTGTTCACCCTTCAACTCAGCAACTTCCTTTCCCTTGGCTGCTCGCTCTTTCTTCTTGTCCTGCTGAATTTAAGGGAGAATCATTCCAGGAAATGTTAGTGTTTAAGATGTTTAAGTCTCAACTAACAAGGGGTTCCCGAACAAAAGAAAAGTGGGTTGTAACTCTTAACCATTTACGCGGAATGATTCTCCTGGGCCGAGTGAATAGGACTATGATTAAATTACACGTTGACATATATCATGATATTGTCCTATAGACTACCCATCTGTACCCTATGTTGGGTAGTTAGATGGAACGCTGCTGGAAGGAACGGCTTTGTCTTCCACGCATGTTCCCAATGAGTCCTTGCCAGTCAGCAAATTTGCCTCCGCTTCCAAGGATGCAATGCCTTGACAGTAGCGATATCTTGTGGGCAATGCGTGGCCAATCTTAGGCACACCCGGCAAAGACACAAAATGAGGTTGGCAATAGACAATTTACCACGGATGGCTCTATCAATGTGCCCAAGCAGGGTTGGCCACGGGGAACATGGTTTCAAGTAATCTTGCTGGCTCATCCCACTTAGTACGTAGTTTATAAACTATAACCCTAAAAAAAGTTGAAAGTAGAAAAGCCCCACTTATCCCACTAATAACCAGGGGATATAACCTATATTTAGTAAGTGGGATGAGCCACCAAGTGGAGATTGTGAGATTGACAGTTGACTCCTGCGCCTTTCTTTCTGGCTGCGAGTGGTGAGACTCGTGGCTCTGGGGCCACCGGCGATTGGTGAGGGCCTTGCCTTGCTAAAGATACTGACGTACCATACAGACCCATCCATTTCGCACGGTAATGATGGGGCCACTGAAAGTTCTAAACCTACACCTGGAGGAAATGGATCTACATTGGAATCTCATCTGAAATTCGATCTCAATGGGGGCTACTATGGTGAAATACAACGAATGCACACGGCCAAGGGGAACCTATCCGCTGTGATCAGCAAGGAGCGAGCCTACGCCACAGCCCCTGGCTGATGCTCTGCAGCTTACAACTGACCCACCTCACACCCTCGCGCACAGCTGTAGCGAAGCTTCGCAAATGAAATCACAAAGTCATCGTGTTAGATTTCCGTGCTGCACCTCTCCAATCCTCTTCATTTCTAGTAGATTCAGCCGTAGTAACTAGTAGTATCTTGATTTGTTTCAGCCGTCGCAAATGGGATATGACGGAATATGAACTCAACAGCTTCTTCGAAGCCAGAGCTCGAGTTTCGACCAACGACGCTTGGACGCTGATGTCCATCACGTTCAAGTTGAAACAACATCTTACTAAGAGCTGGTTGAAACTTCGGATTGGAGAATCCATGGAAATCCCCAGGTAGCTTAGGTTACCCAACTTCTGCCCCCAGTTGATTGGTTATACAGGTCGTGTACCAATGCCGCACGTGAAGGGTAATTCATTCAAGCCTTCATTTGTGTTGATGAAATTCCCCAAATTATTACAAATATATGGAAAGCCCATGAGAATCCATGAGAATCCAAGATCTACCATTTGTAGATGAATTTCCTTGGAAAAAAAACAAGGGTTTCTAAGTTTGCTGATTTCTCAGTCGCAAGCTCTGTCACGATTAGTGCGTCAGCCTTCATCGATCAGGAGCAGCGCTGCAGAGGGTGCCAAGCCCAAGTCCTCGGTGACCGACTGAGCTGTAGTGATGAACAAACGGAACAAAACCAGATGCAAATATATACCCTCTGGTAAACTAACATAACTATGGGAAATCACCATTTTCAATGGCAAAATACACCATAAATAGCCATTTTCAATAGCTATGTTAGTTTACCAAAGGGTAACTCTTGACATCTGGCTTTGACTGAAAATAGGGTACCTCATGGTACCTCATCATTTTCCCTATCAAAAGTAACATAATTGGGGGGTAGCCGCAGCCATTTTCAGACAGACCAAAAAACAGCAACTAGATTTGCTCAAATCCAGATTCAGGGAACCTGATCCAATGGGAACTTCGGAAGAGAACACAAAGCCAGGAATGTGGTTTCCTATAGAATCTCATGGGGCTATTCATCTGGATAGATGAACATTAATGGCTACTTATGGTGTATTTCCCAGAAATCACCATTTTCAATGGGAAAATTACCTTTTTTTTTTCGATTAAAAAATGCCTGTTTAAGGAAGAGGTTCCATCAGAGTGATCCAATCCAGTGATTTCATGTGATTGAAAAACCGTATACCGTAACCAATCTAGGTACGGTAAGGTACTTTCGCATGACATAATTTCACATATATAGATATACTATGATGCCAATATATATATATATATATGTGTGAGAGAGAGAGATAATTTATTTATGTATATATGTATTTATTTATGTGTTCATTCATTTATTTGCTTATATATATATATACACTATATAACTATGTATGTGTAAATATAATTAAGTATATATATATATATATATTATATTATAGATATGTGTGTGTAAGGGGGCAAACATCCGATTTACAGTATAATTGGGTAATCCGTACATAAACTAGGGTCAAGATCCCGCTTACACATATTTCTGACTGGGTGAACCTCTGTAACTAACTAAACTGGACTATCTAAAAAATGTTGATATCAATGCCATGCCAATTTGGGATATACCCCTTTTCTGGACAAACTCCGCAAAAAAAGGATCTTGCACCTATTGTATAGCCACATCCCACTTCATTTCCAATTCAATCAAACAATTGAACTACCCTCTGGTTATTTAACATAGCCATGGAAAATGGCCCATGAAAATAAATGGTTTACCTATCAAAAATGGGTGGATTTTCCATGGCAAACTGTTAAATAACCAGATGGTACATGGTTGGTGGTTTGGAACATGTTTTTTTGACTTTCCATATATTGGGAATGTCATCATCCCAATTGACGTTCAATCAAACAATTGAACTACCCTCTGGTAATTTAACATAGCTATGGAAAATCACCATTTCTAATGGGAAAACTCACTATTTCTATGGCCATTTTCAATAGCTTTTTGTATGTTTACCAGAGGGTACAATTTCATATCCAATGAATCCCAACGCTGGCAGATCTACGAGATCGGTCAGAGCATCCCTGAGACTTCGCTCGCAGTCGGCCGCCGTGAATCTTCGCCGTGGGAACGCCATGGCCTTTGGCAATTTATCGGCCCATGGGTCACCGGTGGAAAGGGTGCTCCATCTATGGAGATATACCCACTGGTTCCTTAACATTGCCATGGGAGTCATGGGAGTCATGGGAGTCATGGGAGTCATGGGAGTCATGGCCTAAAATGATAACATACGTAGCTATAAAATTGTGATTGTCCATACGCAGTATTTTACGTAGAGTAAATATTCCTCGGTGTACCCTCTGGGCATCTGACAGTTTGCCATGGACAATGATAATAAACTACTACACTTATCTGGGATTTGTGCCAAATGGGGCCCCTACAGGATGGGGCCCCCAAGATAGCGTTCAGTGGCCTTACAAGTGGCTTAACTATGGTTTATGATGAATGTAACTATAGTTAATGGTGATTATAATGGTTTATGAACCAACTTATAACTGGGGGTCCCCATCCTGTAGTGATGGTGAAATTTGCCAATGGGAACATGTGCCAATTCATCTTCAGCAAACCGTTTAGTAAGTGGATAGAATTCACCAATGAAGAAAGGGCATACAACGAACAAGAAAAGGAACGGTTTATATACACATGGATATACAAATCCCAATGAATGGTTTTACTATTATTATTATCCATTTATTATCAATACTGCGGGTAGATAGTTTATCAATAATGTGATGAAACAGTAAATAGTTTCACCTATTACATGGCTTCATAACAAATCAATAGAATTACTATGGTTTACTTTTATGATGATCACATGATTACAATCAACAACTTATGATATCATTATGATTAGTATATATTATTGTTCTTATCATTACTATGGTTGTTCTTATCATCATTGTTCTTATTGTTCTTATCATCAATATTATTGTTCTTATCATCATTGTTCTTAGTATTGTTCTTATCATGAGTATTATTGTTCTTATCATCATTATCTTATTGTTTTAACATAGTTTAACCACATTACTAGTTTGAACCAATAATATTAATTAATACAATTTTGTGGTTGAAACACTTGAAATCATTTTGATATCATTTCACCATATTTCACCACAAGCTTGTTAACTATTTCGTTGCATTTGTTCATCTCGAACCTGGCGCGAACTGGCACCGGATCCCCACCGGATCCAAGGCCCGCGCCAGTTGGAAGGCTGCCGGGATGACCAGCTGCCGTCCCTCGGCCTCCGGGAGCCAGGGACAGCCTGAGCCGCCGGCTGTAAGAAAGATGGGATGCTGCGAAAACAATGGAACAAAGAATGGAACAAAAAAATAATCCGGAAGATATGGGAGAAATAAAAGAACAAAATTCAAACATCGTAGGACAAATAATAGGTTTTTTGAAGGGGGTGTCTTCATTCAATGGGAAAAATCAACCAAAAACTCTAGATTACGTGTAGGTAGAGCCTCCGAGCACGCATGATTTCATGGGTAAACGAGTGAAGTGACAAAATGACAATTATACATCGATTACCATATCTTTTGGATGGTTCTTGGAGGGTCGAGGAAAATTGGGAGGAACAATATATTCCTGTTGATAAAAATATATGGTTAAACAGGTTGATGATATTTAGAAGATCTTGTAGGTTGCATCTATTTTTTTAATCTTAAGAACATTAGACTGCTCCTTTCAAGATGGGATGTACTACAGTACCAAACAAACACCATAAACATCTCAAATCATCCAAAATGCTAGTGAGGTATCATGCTGTTGAGTGCTGAAAACAATTGATTACTTTCTGCCAGTTTCAATAGTTCAAATCTATTTCAGTCTTGAATGTGAGAAAGAGATTGGACATGATTGGAACAACCTTCCGAGACCTTCCAAGCAACATCTTGCCCACTGCTGAACGCGTGAAAGCGGCTCCTAAGGCACTAACGCAGCAAAGGCGGAGATGGGGGCCTCTCAGTTGCAAGTTGGCGGATCCCTTCTCCAGCAAAATGATCCCATTCCATCCAACCATCCACTATAGTGATGGGAGGTAATAGGTAACAACTCATACATATTTTATATACATTCACACAACATATGAAAAGGTCAATATGCGAAATCAAATATATTTCTCTTTGCATTTATTTACTAAACACACAAATATTTACGTGTATATATATATATAATTATATACTAATATCGAATATTTATAAATATACATGAATATTATATTTTTTAAAAATTAATTAAGTATACAGTATAAGTATGCATATATACACATGCATTCATACATATATATATATATATATCTCTCTCTCTCTCTGTCTCTATCCCTAATATTCTCAAAAAGTCCACTACCTGGATTCATCCACCATATATCCCAAGGCCACGTTGGTTTCGTCCTGCGCGTTGAAGGTGCGCTCCACGCGTTCGCCGCTGGGCAGTTTCAGCACCAGCCGTACCGCGTCGTCGCGGCCGTCGCCGTCCTGGCCGTTGGGCGCCTCGCTGAGGAACTGCTCGGCGGCGGCCACGTGTCGTTCGTCCTGGAGCACCGGGACTTAGGAAATGGACCAACAAAAAACCCAAGTATATATGGAATATTATGGAATATCCCCACTTATAGGATTCTATAGGGGTTATATATGGTTATATTATATATTATATATGGATTATAAACATTATAAACCACGGGTCCTAAGTGGGATGCACATCCAAACAGGGAAAATGCGGAGATGGGAACATGGGGGTTCATCTCGAAGTCACTATAGGTTTGAATACTAAGAGTGGTCTAATGACTTGAATGAATTGGGAGTAGCCCCCATTTTGGAAAACCTCCATGTAGGAAAAATGGAATATTGCTTTGACTTGGGATGATGAGTTTCTGTTAATCACAATCCCAAGTATTGGGAATTAGAATGAATTAGATATGAATAATTAGTGTTTTCCAACTACTGGATGCTGGGAAAAGGAGTTGATGGGGATGATGGGAATCCCATCAGGGAACATCAGAAATAGTGTTTTCTATCATGTTCATTTTTTTGAGGTTAAGATAACCATAGGATCCATGTATGGTACAGTATATATGCTAACATTTGGGGTATATTGATGGTAAATGTTACCATATATAGCATACATGGATCCTATGGGATAGTTTAAGTCATGTTAAGCAAATAGAAATGGCATTGAATCAAACTGAGGTCGCACCGAAACTAATTCCCTGGCTCCGCATGGCTCCACCCACGAAGAACACCCTGGTAGAATGTATTGTGGATCTTATTAAAGCCAATGTTCTTAATTGGCGGTATACATATATATATACATAATATATATATATACATAAGATATATATATATATATGTGCGTACACATATAAATAAATATATATATATATATATTATTATATGTATTATATCATAAATAAATAAGTAAATAAATAAATAAATAAATAAATATATACATACACCCCTTTTCAGGATACTTAAACCACATCAAACCCTGATGTTTGATTAAAGCCCCACTGCAGTAAATGCTAGCTGCTAAATGTTTGCTAGATATATCACAATCTTAAATGCTACATCCACCACTGATTCAAATAACGCAGGCTACGTGTTTACCTCGATATTTCATAGGGAAAACCGCTGGATTTTTAGTTTGGGGTTAATGGTGGTAAACCCTCCAATTTGGGGATCGCTGATAATTACCATCCATTTCTGTAATGGGGATGCATTTCCCATTCGGTTACTGCATAGGGTTTATAGATGGGCCGTAAAACTAGCCAACTGGTTAGTAAGTGGGTTATGACCCACAAACAATCCCAATAATAATCCATTTACATTATTTTTTCCAACTAGTTAACATTCGTTAACTAAGTCACTAAGTCTATGGCCCATCTAAGTACCGAATTTTCCCACCATTTTCTCCCCTGGTGCCAGGACACCACGTGGGGTGGCCGCGTCTCTGGCCGCACCGTGGGCGGCACGGGAAGCGCGGCTTGCGGCGCTTGCGGCGCTTGCGGCGCTTGCTGCGCCCGCGCAGCGGCGGCTTGGTCACGGGCCAAGGCGTCGGCGTATTCCTCGGGAAAGCTGCCGGATTTTTCACTGAATTTATGGTTGAAACTCATCAACCAGGATTCTCCTGCAGTTGTATTATCACTTGTATATATAGATATCAATAGAGGATTTGAACCAAAAAAGAAATACGTTATTTGTTCACTTGATTTATCGCTGTTTATTGATGTTCATAGAGGATTTTAACCATCAAACTAGGGGGATGAACTAGGGAAAGCTATTCCTTCTCATTTGATATCTTAACCATCAAACTATGGGACTATGGGAATGTAACTGACAAACACATCGGAACTTCATGGGGATGTATCCTCTGGTCATCAAACATGGCTGGAACATGTCCCGGAAATAGTTCAATGACTTTCCCAGCGAACTAAACCTGGGACCTTTGGTTCGGGGATTTCCCGGCTTGCCATGGAGCTGAGTAACCACAGAAACTGCTTAGGCATGTAACCAACCAAACAAGGGATATAGCAATATTCAACTGAAATGCAATATTGATTAGTAAGTCGTTAGTGAATGGTCGTCGTTTGCCGAGCTATAAATGGGCCCCGGTTAGAGATTTTAACAACCAATGTCATTATATAACCAGTGAGATGATTCTAGTGACCTAGTGATTGGTTCCTGCCAAATAGCAGCTAGCAAGCATGTCCTTTGGAACAAACTTGAAGGGCTGGTCAGTTTGCTATACAATTTATAGTCCTTTCCCTGGATGTTCTTGAGAACCCCTACCCAGAAATGGATTGAACACTCTATTGTCTTGAGGTTGCTGCGGTTGCTGCCCTCTAAAATGTCCCGTTGTTCTTCTTGTTGTTGTTATTGTTGTCGTCGTCGTGGTTGTTGTTGTCGTTGTTGTTGCTGTTGTTGTTGTTGTTGCTGTTGCTGTTGTGGTTGTTATTGTTGTTGTTATTGTTGTTGTTGTTGTGGTGTGTGTGTGTGCGTTGGGAAGGAGGAATTGACTTAATGTTGGACTGATTCATTGGCCAATACGCCTCAGGTGCTGTTTCACTGAATTTCTACTGTATGCTTTTGCTGCCTGGTACAAGGAATGGGAAATCCATTGTTGTCTCTCGGAACATGGTCTACTCTGTACAACTAAATAGCGCTTTGTTTCCATATCTAAACTTACTGGAAGTATATAGAGTTCACCTAATTTGTTCCTGTTGTTTTTTTCCTACTTTGGTTTGTCTGAAAACATGGTACCCCTAAAACCCATTGGTTTATCACTATTTCCCCTATCAAAATGTCAACTCACTAGAGGTATTAACCCCATCTTTCCCCAGTTTTCCCCATCCATTTCCCAACAATTCCCATTCTTGATGCTTAAATCCACATGTTTCATCATGTTTCCATGGTTAAATCATGTCAACCCACCATTTTTCTTGGTGAAAATCTCCATGCTTCATGGATTTTCATTTTATCCATGGTCTCCGCCCCAGCTTCCACCATCCCCCGCGCGTTTCGCGCCTGGTCCTGCGCTTGTCGCAACTGCACGTCCTCATCGTTCCGGCGCGCCTGCATCAGCTGACGGTGAACCTCCATAGCCTGGCGGGTGAGACACACCTCCATAGCGATCGTCCATGTGGATGGTTGCAAAATCCTGCACGAGTTGATAGACGTGTAAACATCCCATTATTTATATGGGTTTAACCATCCTTTAGGTGGTGCAGGATGTCGCAACCATCCACTATAGTTGACCATTTTTGGGGATTTTCACCAAACTGTGGGGATAAAATGTGGATATAACTGACGATGGTTGATCATTGATGATTATAGAAGGTGAGGCCTGCCAGTGATGTTTGTTGGTTTATAAGCCCTATGAATTCATGATATGAATACTATATAATAGTTACTATAATATATAGTTGTAAATAGTTATGCTATAGTTGTATCCCTTGTAAAGCCTATAGCAAACCAAGTTAGCCGCATCAACTAAGCTATCGTAAACGGGGACCTCACCTTGTATGAAAAATTGCCAATGTAGATCCATTGATGGATTATGTACTTCAATGTACTTCCTAAACATGGTGATTTTCCATGACTATATCTAAAATGATCGGAGGATATCGGTGATCTGATGGAACGTAGAGGGACAGGGGCTGGGTTCAAAATGGCATGTTCAGGTCTTTTAACAAAGAAGAACACTGGTGGTAAAAGCATAATCAAAAATGCATTGGAGAAATGGACATCATTGGACATGTATCATTGTTATCGCCATCCGCCATCCATACAGAATTGTGTATATACATAACATATATATATACGTATATATATATATATGTGTGTGTTATATATACATATAGAAATAATATATATATAAATAAATTTATGTTATATATATGTTATATATATATATGTTTTACATATATATATATATATGTTTTATATATATATACATATGTGTTATATATATATATGTCTATGTGTTATATATATTATATATATGTTATATATATATATATATTTGTGTGTGTGTTCCCCCTATTCTCCCCATCTGGTTTTTATTGCCGTCCCGGCCTCGAGACCTTCCAAGATGCTTTCCAACGTTTGAGTCCTGGTCACCGCTCCGGGCACCGCCAAAATCACCTGGGCATCGCAACCAGAATCGAAGTTACCTTCTGGTTATTTAACAGTTCGCTATGGAAAATGATGGAAAATGATGGAAAATGATGGAAAATGATGGAAAATGCATGAAAATGGACTATGTATCGCTGTATGGTAGATGTTTTTTTTTCTGATTTACCTATCAAAAAAGGTACGTAAGTTTATCTCATTTTCCATAGTTACGTTGAAGAACCAAAGGGTATAGAGTATGGACCAACAGAAATCTACCAACTGGGGGTTGCTGGAGATTTTGGAGTTGCAAAACCATAAGGACTTCTTGGGGACTTCTTAGTTGTCCTGTTCAAATTCCCTGTGTTTTGTTTATTTATTTGCATCAAACTAGCAACACATACCAACTCACTAGTCCCTGTGCCCAGATGCAACTATCCTTTGTCCAGTCTCTCTCTTTGTGAATTTGTGATACGACGCTGTTCGTTCGACATGAAACTGAGAAAAAGTAACACAATAGTTAAACCAAGTGGACTGTGGTCAAACTCATGTAATTCCCAATTTAATTTGATAATTTTACCCGCTAGAAACCATGTTTGATGATGCCAGAGGGTAAATTCAACTAGAGTAGTTTTCAAAGCACTGCAGGTTGATGATGAGTTCGGGGCTATATACCCTTAACGTAATTATTGGGGATTGTCATAATCCATGAGCTGAGAATCCCGTTCGTAAGAAACCAGTTTAATGGAAGGCCAAGAGGTTTCGAAGGCTGCTGATTTGTGTGCCCATGTGGCTTACCACTTGGTGACACCCTTTCATTCCCCTGTTTTCCCCAATCAATCCCTGGAATCAAGCTATTGATGGTACCCAATAAACCCCAGTTTCCCTTGTAAATCACAAGTTTTCCAAAAAAAATCCAGGAATCAAGCAATTCCCAGCATATGAGCTCTCATCATCGATGGTACCCGTCTCCAACCCCAGTCCGCTTGTAACATTTGTAACAGTTGTGGTCGAGTCTCCGTCATGGCATCCGCCGCCAGTGTCACCGCTATGGCCAGAGATGGCAAGGTGTCCTCGAAAACGATCTGCAGGGGTTGGGTGGTTGGTACTTGGAGGATGAAGTTGGTTGGGTTTTACTGGGAATAATCATGGGATTCTAGCCTGCTACAGGCTATAAAGCTATAAGTATGTTTATGTGCCCACTGAAAAGAAATGATGGGTTATGTACCCACTTACAAGTCACAAGTATAAGTGGAACTGCGCCCCGGAGTACCAAGCCTCTATTGAAGATCTTATTTGCAAACAAAAGTGCGATCGCTGCGTGGCCATGGTTGGAATCCCTGCTGGAAGATGATGATTTGCATATCCACTTTCTATCCATCCCCTTACCCCCCATGGTTTCGATCAAGAATGTACACGTCTTGAGCTCAACACATGGACAGTCACCAAAAGGAAATGTGTTAAATCTGATTTTCTTCAGTCCAAATCCAAGAACTCTTCCTATGGGAAATCTTCCCCATAGACTACCCTCTGGTAATTTAACATAGCTATTGAAAATGGCCATAGAAATAGTGGATTTACCCCATTGAAAATGGTGATTTTCAATAGCTATGTTAAATTACCATAGACTAACCCCATGGACCATGGTGACCATGATCAATCCAATGGAAAGATCCCACTGCTGAGCGTCCATGGGCGCCAGCTGCCGCAGCTGCGTATCTTTGAGCTCTGCAGGGCGGCCCCTCCAAAAGATGGCCTCCGTGGGATTCCGCGCAACCGCAAATCGATGGATTACATCGTTGCTCTCCAAACAAATATGGAAAATCCATGGAAAATTCATGGACAATCCATGGAAAATCTTGGAAATCGATGAATAGAAGTGGGAAGTCCGGGAATTTAGCAGACCAAAGGTGGAAACTGTCCATTTTTTAGGGGACGTCGATGTTGATCGAAGGGTGCTGGCGACCTCACCCATGGATCAACGTTGCGACCTGGCTAGATCAATGGAGCTAGCACGATGGTCTAGCTAGATCTGGTTAATCATCAACATTATCTGGTTGGTGATTTCAACCCCTCTGAAAAATATGATAGTCAGTTGGGATGATTATTCCCAATATGTGGAAAAATAAAAGCCATGTTCCAAACCACCAACCAGTATACCATTATTATGCTAGTGTATAACAATTACCCTCCTGTGTCATCGAAATTCATCGAATTAACTGGCGGGTCTTCCAGCAAGCTAATGTTTGATTGAGGGTATGCTGCATTCTCGCACGAAGAAAACCCAAGAAATGACCAGGGGCAGCTAAGGGCCCTGACTTTGGTGATGGCGCTAGTTCTTAAATTCCCCGGCGGAAAAAGTGGGAACATGTTCATGGGAGTTGGACCCACTTTGGAGCAGTTATCTTTCAGTAACTCAAAGAACCGCACATCTAAGTAACTTCAAATATTAGGTGACTTGGTTAAGTTCCATCGTTGTTGTTGTGTAAATTCACTCATCCACCTTGTGCTTATCAGTTTTTTCCTGCTGCGGATGGTTCATAGTTCATTCCATAACTTCCAACATGATCCGTCGGATTTTGGGCCTCCACATGTTTTCACTAAAATTGTTGCTGTTTAACACTAACACCAACATTCTGCTTTCCACCTGATTTCGCAGTTTTGCCGCTTAACATATCATTCAAGTGGGATTGTTTATCTAATAATTATCATCCCATAATGAACTCAATCTTATACAGTAAGCCTCTACATGTTACTTTTATGTTTCCAATTTTACCAACCTCACCATCAGGAAAACCCGGCCAGTTCCCATTGCCGGCCCAGGCGCATTCTCGCTGAGCACACTGCGGACTTCGTCCGATGCCAAGGCCAGGTATTGCAGGGCTTCGTCCTTCTGTGGCTTCCTGCTGGGCCGGAGATGAAAGACCATGGAATTGTTAAATTTTAAATAAACGGTGATTCAACGAGTTGACTATGCTGATGTTGAGTTGATTCAACTTAAATTAAAATAACCTGTATATATATGTGTGTTTATAATTATAATAATTATATAATGTATTTAAGGAATAGAGATCTAGCCAAATTTGGGAACACACATGTAGTTTCACATTGAACACTTCGTATGCACAACACCAACATCCCAAACTCATGGCTAATCTACCAGTGGTAGCACATTCCTGACCACCAAATCTCAAACAAACCACCCATCAACTCACCATTCACCAAGGACTTCCCCAATTGTCTACCTGGAATGTTATAAATGGCTTATTCATTAAGGCAACTGTTGGAAAGTGGCAAGTTTCAATGCCACTTTAAAGAAAGCACAAAACCAACAAACATCATCATTTTTTTGAAGGTGTCAGACTGTGCAATTTTAATTACCTTTGAACAGTGGCCTAAATATACACAAAGGTGACGCAACAAATCTGTAAAGTAGCGTTTTTTTAAAAAAAAAGGTGGCATGGTATGGCATGGTGGTAACAACAATAGGCACCTGGTTTTCCAGGGACTGCATATTCATCTACCGCGTCGTCCTGCTTCATCCCAATTTTATGTCGGGTAGTCATCGTCGTTGAGTCGTTGAACAAAATGTTTCTGCTTATAGTTCTCCCCTATTCTATCCTACTTTTGCTACTTTCAACTTAGTTGGTGGTTTCCAGCCCATTCCATCAACACAATAAAGTCACCAACCTTCATACTAAACCTACGTTGAATACAAACATGTTTGAAACAACCAAACTACGTAGCAATAGAATACGTTGAATATTGCAAACATGTTCCCAGGCTATGTACCTCGGAAAATGAGGCAATATATGGTAACATAACCCTTTTGACTTGGGACTTTTACTCATTTTCATGGGGCCTTGGAGGGTCGAAGCATGTTGATTTACTGAAGGAAATCCACTTCACTCTGTTCCATCAATCTTGGAACTGTCAATGTAAAAACCAGCTGAGTTCACGTTCTTTCCACTTAATAGCAAGTGGTTTACCATCAATCTGTTTTACCCTCTGGTAAAATAACATAGCTATTGAACATGGCACATTTAGTTCGTTGATTGACCTATTAAAAAAGGTGATTTTCCATAGCTATGTTAGCTTACAAGAGGGTAATGTCATCATCCCATTTAGAGTTGACCTAGCCAGCACCAAATCCCGCTCACCCTCGGCCGGAGACCACAGCCACAACCTTAGTGCCACCCTTGACCCGCGGAGGAATGGCTTGACCGGAAAGCCAAGTCGTGATCAAACATGATAAAGACGGCATGTCTGAAGACTGATTTTACACAACTAGTGGATTCTAATGGATTAGGGGTTGTCCAAACAGGGAGGGTTTACTCCAATTTACTTTTGGGGAATCATGAGGTTCAACAATTAGAGAACACCATACAAGTATGGCATTTTATTCCATTTTGCGGTATCCTATCTGACACATTCACACATTAACCAAAATGCGAGCCAACCCACACAGACCATCATTCCAGGTAGGCACGGGGAAAGATCTTCCAAACCACCAACCTCCACTTCCGCTTCCCATTGGTGAACGGTGCTTGGGGGGCCATCCTTCATGCTTGCGCAGTTGACATCATCTGAGAAAATAGGAGCAAACAACAAAAACAAAACATGATTTGGTTCAGTTCCACTCAAAGTCTTCCGGCAGTTTTCCCATGTTCATTACCAAACCAGATTTTTTTGTTGGATATGTTTCGTTATAATCCCCCGTTGGTGATGTTTAAAATATTCAATCATTGGTTGCAATCATAATCCCCATGTACCCAATAGAGTCCACCTTCGCTTCTTGTAAAATCTCAATGTTTGATCGGTTGATGGTTTAAGTTCATCCATTGTTTTTTTCAAAAAAAATGTGAATAATATATATTGAACATTCCATTTAAACACTACGTAGCTATCCGTATATGTATATATATATATATATGTAATTGAAATTTTGTCCATTGTAATCCCCATCTAATATTGATTAAATCCCCCACATCGTTGTTGTTTGATTCGTGAATATGTCTATTTGTTCACTTCCGATTATAAACATAGTGACATAGTATTCCCATCAGTGAAATCCCAATTCAATCCGATAAATATCACCAATATTTATCTCCATGTAATCCTAACAAAAAACAACGTATAAACAACATAAAACCATATCGGTGGTTATATGTGGTTACAGCTCATCCGTGCACAACCCACACATCGTTGTTGGTTAAGGTTATCGTTGGGTTTACCATTAAGATATCATTAGGTTTCCAAAACAGTGATAATCCCATACTGCTGTTGGTTAACATCCATTCCCATTGGTATCGTTACTAACCCCATAGAAAGCAAATATAGTCATAATATTCGGATTATCATCCCGCCATGGTTGCGTTGGTGCAAATTCCCATTTGCAGTAAATATTAGACACATTTAGGAACCCATTGTTTAAATGCTATGACATGATATGACATATTATACGACAATTCCCAAATGCCCATGATATTCCCACTTGCTTTAAGCATATCAGTCAACCCATGAATATAAGCTAACTGTTCATGACATGGTCCCATTATATTCCCAATTCATGATGGTGACATATTGATATCATTATATTAAATTCCCATAATATTACAATATAATAAACACAATATCAACATCATATTCCAAGTACGGTGTTCATATATAACGTGTTGTACTTACCCCCATACTAGTCACATAATATTCCCATATGTGGTGTATACTTGATGGTTAAACATTCCCATTATAAACCCCATAGGTGAATATTTACATACAATACATGTAATAAACATGATATAAACATAATGTTCCCTTTATAATCCACATAAATTTGGTGATTAAACCTTCAGTTGCTGATTATTTACTATTATGCACCAATATGTCCATTCCAAACATATCATAAACAAAATATGAACATGTTATTCCCATGCCCATATGATGTATATAACCATATTATATGGCTTCCTAGAATTCAAAACATGTTGAAACATGTTGATACATTTTGCATATATATATATATATATGGTGGTGGGGTACCCCTATTTTTTTAAAAAAAATCAGATAATATTTCCATACAGTACATATACCCTCCGGTAATTTAACATAGCTATTGGAAATGGCCCATAGGAATAGTTGATTTACCTGTTGAAGATTGTGAATTTCGATAGCAAACTGTAAACGTTTCCCGGAGGGTAACTATCATCAAGTCCCATCAAATACCATGAACAAATCCCATAGTTGATGGTTAAATCCCATAGTTGATGGTTAACATTTCCATACAATACATAAACAAATCATAAGATAGAATAGACATCATATTCCCAATAAAATCCACTTGTATTTGGTGATTAAACCTTCAGTTGTTGATTAGTTACTATTAAAGATGGTGATTTTCCAGTTCGCAAACTGTTATATAGTTTACCAGATGGTTAAATCATGTTAAATCCCCTTAAAGTCACCATAAAATCACACATTGGCATCCCAGGCACCAGCAGCTTGGACTTCAGGAAGGCCTGAGCCCTAGCTGCCTCGAAGCTGCCCTCGAACCTCGCGGGGCATGGCATCTCGGCAGCCGTCACTGGCTCCAGGTCCTCCACGTTTTGGATCGCCGTGGCGCCTTCCTTTGCCATGGAAGATGAGAGGATTGAACTTTCGGAGATTTTTGGATGACCCGGAGCTTTGTTCTGGGAGATTGTCTAGGATGCATGACTTTGTTTTTGTGTTTAACAGTTTTTAAAGGCAGGATTTAGATGTGTTTTGAAATGGTTATAGGTATATCCAGATAGATTAGACATGTTTGAACATCTTTAGATGCTGAAATTTCGATATTTTTTTAATTGTGATTTCAGATGATTGTTGGGACCCACTGGCTGGCCAGTCACCATCCCCAATTATCAACATTTGCCAATCTACGTTACAACTACTAGTACGTGATCCAGATCTTTGGGATGTAAAGCTGTTTTATGGTATCAAAGTTTGGAGTTTTGATAGATTTGATGAGAATATAAAAGACCATTTGGATAAACACAAATATATATAAATCCAATGAAAAGGGCGCTTTATCCAGTCTGCACATCATATCTACTTCTTTAACGTTACTTTGTTTGTTGAGTTTGGTCACGGTCGCAACTTCCACCCCCTGAATATATCGAGTTCACCGTATTTTCCCCCCAAATGATGGGATCCAAAGTGCCAAGTCAGCCCTGCCAAGTAACGCCAAAATGGCTGTATGCCTGCCGACCCTCAACCATCTCCACCTGGGCTCTTGCTGGCGATTTGGGTCCAAGAATCATAAGAAATTTGCAATAATGTAACGCATCCACTTGGTCACGATTGCACAATCGAAAAAAAATGAAAAAACAAGTGAAACACACAAGTGCTTTGGGAACTAAGTTTTTTGTTGTGAATACTGATTTCACAAGGCTTCTGATTGCGGCCCCCTCACAGTGAAAAAGAACAGCAGAGCTACCAGTTTTGGTGGAGATCCTCTACCTGCTGATCCACACTGAGAGCTCACCGTACCAGGCGGTGCCCCAGTTCGTTGATGAGCATTATTTTAATTTCAGGCTTTGTGGTGGTAGATTAGATATGTCAAATTAGTTACCATGGCACTATGGTAGACTAAACATTAATAAATGGATTTTCATGATCTGTCGAACTAGTTACTATGGCATATGGACAGTATTCTGGTTAACTAAACATTGATAAACCAACCAAAAACAACCGGGCCATGCCGCGCCGAGTGGCCCAGCAAAAGCTCCGCTGCTGTCGTCGCATGGCGAAGGAGCCGCTGTCCCACAGTCCTGCCGCGCGCGCTTTCCGCAGCAGCGCCAGGAGCTCAGAACGATCGCCTGGTGGCCGCGCGGAGGCCGCGGTGAAATGGACTAAACCCATCTAAACCCAATGGTGGTTAATAATGGCTGGTAGTGGTTAACAGTGGTGAATCACGGGTACATTTGAGGCTCATACTGTTGTTGGTTGAAATCACCATAATTAAAACCCAATATGGCCCATATGTTTGATTGAAATACCCGATATTGATCGATATTGATTATATACACAAAATATACATGTTCCACCGCATATATGTATATAATGATTACCAGTAGTACCCGCACGAGGCGGGGCGGAAGTTGCCTTAGGGATATACTTCAGACCTTTCTCATCTATAGACATTGCATGCGCCGTGCGCCAGCCAGGCCCGTGCGTGCGTGCATTCTGCGTAAGTGGTGTCCTGTTTCACATATCACATTTGAAGCTCCACTTCGCACTTCACATTTCTCACTGCATTCTTCACACTCCACACTCCACACTCCACACTTCACACTTCACACTTCACACTCCACACTTCACACTTCGCACTCCAAACTTCACACTTCACACTCCACACTTCACAGTCCACACTTCTCACTGCTTTCTTCACACTCCACACTTCACACTTCACTTTTCATGCCCCACACTTCACACTGCACTCTTCACACTCCACGCTTTATCTCATCTGAGATCTTTTCACCTTATCCCAGCTCATCTCTTCTCATCTCATCTCTTCCCATATGTCATCTAAACTTTCATGAATCACTTCCCAGCACTACTACTAAGGTTTCGTGCTCCGCCATGCAACACTCATGCAGCCATTCCAATGCGATCTGCAACCACAGATTCCAAAACAACTATAAAACTACGCGCACACACACACAAGCACACCCAAAGCAGCTTGAAGCCACCGTTACAATGCGGCAAGAAAAAAAAGCAAACCGACCGCAGCCGCACCCGCCGCACACAGGAGGTACATGGAGGTACCTTTCATTGCCGCCTGCAGCCACTTTACACGAAAAATGCAGGTTCTCGTGCTCCGGCTTCCTCCCCAACGCAAAGCACATGCAACATCCATGCAGCCATCCCAATGCGATCTGCAACCTCACCACTTCCCTCCTTCATCACCACTTCCCTTCGTCACCACTTCCCGTCCTCACCACTTCCCTTCGTCACCACTTCCCTTCATCACCACTTCCCTTCGTCACCACTTCCCACCGTCACCACTTCCCTTCGTCACCACTTCCCATCGTCACCACTTCCCTTCGTCACCACTTCCCTTCGTCACCACTTCCCTTCGTCACCACTTCCCTTCGTCACCACTTCCCTTCGTCACCACTTCCCTTCGTTACCACTTCCCTTTATAGCCGTTTATTCTTTTGTGATGTATTGTGACGCTGAACCACCCTTCATTGCCTTATTCTTTGTGATGTATTTGTGATGTATTGTCACCACTTCACCACCCTTCATCAATGTCAAGTCTCACAATTCTGTTTGTCCATAACTTGGAAGATTGCTTCCCAACTTCCTTTGATGATGATGATGATGATGATGATGATGGCCATTAATCTTCATTGCCATAAACCCCCTCCATGATATCCGTCGCTAAGGCAATCCCACATGTCACTGGTCCGGCATCCGCATCCAAGGCACGGCAATGTGAAATCTCGACATCCCTCGCAGCCAACTCTGCCTTCAGCTGCCTCACTGACATGCGAGTGACCTGCCGTGGAGATGCCAGCCGGGATGCCAGGAGAGGAGTTGAAGGGGATTTACATATGGGCCAACATGTTTAATCAATGTATCAGGATCAACAACGACTCAAACATTCGATTTAATCATTGCCCTATAGGTCAGGCAAGGTTATTTGGAGCAAAATAGGTAAAAGTGATTTTGGAGGCAATTTTCGAACTAATAGTTTATTTTTAAGGAAACAAAAATAGTTAATTTTTTTAAACTACATAGTTAATTTTTAAGGGTCCATTTCAAGGTAATTTTTGGGGTTTAAAAAAATACCTTCAAAAATTACCTTGAAATTTTGCATTTTTTGCATGGAAAAAAGATAATGAATTTCGACATTTTCTTAACATTGTACCATAGTAAAGTGAACATTATCAATTGCTTGAAAGGTATTTTAACAATATGTTTCTTGATTTTGTGTGAAGTCAGTCCTACATGATTACTGGAAGTGCAAAAAACTATATTGTTTGAACTTATACTTGTTTGAGCAAATCAAAGTTTTTATTTGTGAAGATCAAATCTGATTGGATGTTTTGAAGATATGTTATACAACATCAAAGCTACAATGAAGTAACCCCAAGCATACATTCTGTCTTTGAAAGCTCGGTGAGGACATCCATCAAAGTATAATTGAGTTTTTGGTCTTTCTTGTCAAAAAAAAGATTTTGACAGCCGGTCTTTGACAATCTCTGCCCAGTCGCTCCTGGGAGCACTTGCCCTGCTCAGTTTCACAGGAGCATCACAAATCGCTTTTGGCAATGCTGAGGATGAAGTAACCACAGCTGGTGTAGAGGAAGCACTGCTACCACTACCACAACTACCACTACCACTACCACCACAACTAGCTCCAGTGCCAAGCTGGCTCCAGGGCCTGCTCGACATGAATTGACTCATCTGCGAATAACTCATCCTTGGTGATGTTGGCTTGGCCACCATGCAAGACCATGGAACTGCCCTGCTTCTTCTCAATGGCTGTGGCTATTGTCCTGACATGATAGTAACCATCTTTCTGATAGACATCACCTCGTCTTTCTGCTCATTCAAAGCTTGCTGGTTTCACTGGATTTTTTCCACGACATGATGGAGTGAGGCAACCCAGTAACCTGAGATTTGTTGGTGCAAATCTCAAAGTTCTTCTTGAAAACCTCGCACTGGGTATTTCCAGGAGCAAAAGCAAACTCGCCACTGGTGTTCTGCTGAAAGACTTTGTTGATGAATTGACTCTTAAATAACCTTGGGGGAGGAGAATTCTTGGAGCCCTCTTCATAGAGCTGCTGAAGATCTTCTGGCACCTGACCACTTTTGATCATTCTGGAACATTTCCTTACCTTGGGGTAGCTTCGATGCTCATCATCAGCAACTGTTGCATCCTCCTCTTTAGGCTCCTCATCTTCTCCTTCTGCATGGTCATCAGGAACTGGCTCATCCCTGGTCTTCTTCCATCCTGCTGCCATCTCCTTGACAGTCTTCGCTTTGGCCTTGGCTTTCGCCTTCAGCTGCATCAGGTCTTTTCAGGATTTTCTTCATTGTGCTCTTGGCTTTTGCCTTTTGAGCTTTCATTGGCGAAGAAGTAACCCCAGGAGCTTTGCTGGCAGCAGCCTTGGCTTTACCTGCTGCCTTTGCCTTGACTTTAGATTTTGCTTTCACCTTGGCTTTGGCCTTTGCCTTGGGTGCTGCAGTATCTAAGAATCTAAGTCAGCTCATGGGGCAGCTTCTTCTGGAGAAGCCTGTTCTACAGATTCTGGTGCTGGTTCAGGTGGAGGCAAAAAGCAAGCATAGCATCAGGTTACCAACAGGGGCGACAAGTGACAAGTAACTTCAATCTTGAGCACCAGTGTGCTACATGGATGGTAAATGCACTTGTACACTTGACATATTTTCCAACCTTTCACCAAAAAAGTAGCCCACATACCAAAGACCTCGTGCATGTATCAACCAACCATTGTGCTATTTATCATTCACAAAAGGTGCTGCATGAGATTTTCTTATTTTTGGATGGTAATATGTTTTTGTGAAATGAATATTTGTCCTATGCATGCAATAATGGAAAACAATACTTAAAGATATGCTGCGACTTTAAGAAGTGGTTCGTGTTCAAAAACATTAACAAGATAAACAAATATATAATTAGGAAAAACATATATATATATATATATAAAGAATGAATAACAAAAAACAATAAATGAACAACTAAATAGTATATATATATATACAGTATGTATATATATATATATGTATTCAATCAATAATCAGTGGTGGTATATGTGGCAAAAAAACATATTACAGTTTCAGTATTGTACATGTGGCTTTTTGTTTTATTTATGTATGCTCACCTAATGTAATTGCTCTTGTCCTAGGTTTTATTTGAAACTTTAAGGCATAATGTACCCAAATACTAATGTAGAGATATATGTGTATTCATTTGGTGTGGTGTTATTGGTTGGCTTGGGGTTACAGTTTTGCAAACCAAACCCATTGCATGCCAACCAACCCTATTAGGTACTTTGTAAAATGAAAGGTGCTTTAAACCCCCCTTAAGGTACCTTTTTTATTTTTAGCAAAATAAAACAAAAAATAAAAATGGGAATGCACCAAAAATGTGTAATGAAAATATTTGATTATAGTTTCTGTATTGTACATGTGTTTTTTCTTTTCTTATTTATGTATGTTCACCTAATGTAATTGCTCTTGCCCTATGTTTTTTGATGACACTTTAAGGCATAATGTGACATAATGTACCCACATACTAATGTGGAGGTATATGTGTATTTATTTGGTGTGGGGTTATTATTTGGCTTGGGGCTACTGTTTTCAAACAAAACCCATTGCATGCCAACCAACCCTATTAGGTACTTTGTAAAATAAAAAGGTGCTTTAAGCCCCCTTAAGGTACCTTTTCATTTTTTGGGAAATCACAAAACAAATAGACATATAGATGTCTCAAAATGCCTAAGGCAAATGTTTGATTACAGTTTCAGTATTGTACATGTGTTTGTTGATGTATTATTTATCTATGTTCACCTAATGTAGTTGCTCTTGTCCTAGGATTTTTTGATGCAACTTCAAGACATCATGTACCCAAATACTGATTTGGAGGTATATATGTATATATGTGTGTATTCATTTGGTGTGGGGTTATAATTTGGTTTTGGGTTACTGCATTGCAAACCAAAACCAATGCATGACAACCAAACCATGTTTTGGGTTACTTTTTAAAACACATTTAGACATGGTGGGTGTAACATGTCAAAACAATTTGCACAATAAACAACCACTGTTTGGTTTTTTTAATGAGAAAAACACTTACAAAGAATAGTAATCCATATTTGGGGTTACTTCTTTTAAAATGATCCCAGCAATAGATCCCTATGTTGTTTTTATTTTTTTCAACCAGTAGCATACATGAAACCTATTAAAAAAACAAAAAAATGAAATGAAAAAACATTTTTTTGAAACAAACAAACATGGTTTTCAAGAAAATAAACACATTTTTTTAAAGAAAAAACAAGTTTTCTCTATATTTTTTGTTTACTGCCCTGAAAGTTTGTTGAAAGTTTGTTGCAAACTTTCAGTCAAACTTTCAGGGGGGGTTGCAAGTTTGACTGAAACTTTCAATGCAAACTTGCAGGGCTGGATTGAAAGTTTCAATGCAAACTTTCAAGGCTGGATTGAAAGTTTAAAGAAACTTGCAGGGCTACATTGAAACTTTCATGCAAACTTTCTAACCCCAAATATGGATTACTATTCTTTGTAAGTGTTTTTCTCATTTCAAAAAATCAAATAAAAAACGAAGGTTATTGTTGCCTGGTGTTTAGATAAACATGTAGTACCAACCATGGTTTGTGTTTGATTGAATGCTGTGTGTTTCCAAAATAGAAACCCCAAACATAGGTTGGTTGTCATGCAATGGTTTTGGTTTGCAATGCGGTAACCCAAAACCAAATAATAACCCCACACCAAATGAATACACACATATATACATATATACCTCCAAATCAGTATGTGGGTACATGATGTCTTGAAGTTGCATCAACAAAATCCTAGGACAAGAGCAACTAAATTAGGTGAACATACATTTAAAAAAACACCAACAAACACATGTACAATACTGAAATTGTAATCAAACATTTGCCTTAGACATTTTGCGACATCTATATGTTTATTTGTTTTATTTTTCCCAAAAATGAAAAGGTACCTTAGGGGGGCTTAAAGCACCGTTTTATTTTACAAAGTACCTAATAGGGTTGGTTGGCATGCAGTGGGTTTTGTTTGAAAACAGTAGCCCCAAGCCAAATAATAACCCCACACCACATGAATACACATATACCTCCACATTAGTATGTGGGTACATTATGTCACATTATGCCTTAAAGTGTCATCAAAAAAACATAGGGCAAGAGCAATTACATTAGGTGAACAGACATAAATAACAAAAGAAAAACACATGTAAATACAGAAAACTATAATCAAATATTTTCATTACACATTTTTAAGAGACATTCCCATTTCTATGTTTTTGCTTTATTTTGCAAAAAAAAGAGGACCTGAAGGGGGGCTTAAAGCACCTTTCATTTTACAAGGTACCTTATAGGGTTGGTTGGCATGCAATGGGTGTGGTTTGCAAAACTGTAACCCCAAGCCAACTAATGACTAATAACACCACACCACCTGAATACATGCGTATTAATGCATACATATATATATATATACATATAGACAGTGATATTTAGGCACATTACGTCTTAGAGTTTCATCAAAATAATCATAGGACAAGAGCAGCACATAAATAACAAAACAAACAAGATATGTACAATACTGAAATTGCAGTAAAATAATTGCTCTAGACATTTTGAGACATCTCCATTTCTATTTCTTTAATGTTTTATTTTTCCAAAAAATGAAAGGTACCTTAAGATGGCTTAAAGCACCTTTCATTTTCCTAGGTACCATTGTGGAACCAGTTTTTGAACATGT